TACAGAGGGGTTACAATTACATGGGCAAGATAATGAGTACATTTCTTATCAAGCATTGTAGCCTCCTCCTTTGTTTCCCCTTCCTATCCCTTCCCGTCCTCCCCCCTAAAAATCACCATTGCTTTAAAAGGTATTTCAGAGGTAGTGAGTGCTACTAAGGTTTTAGCTTTCTATCATTGTCTTTTAAAAATTATTCACAATGGCAATCATGAAGTAAATTGAAAAATCCGTAGAGATAATTTTGTTGATTTAAAAGCTTTTAGATTATAATTAATGCAATAATATATGCAACATTGTCCACTTTTTATTACAATTGAGAATATGCTTTTAACTATTTCAGGACTATAACATTTCCATACATTGTATTATAAAAGTATTTTATAGTTTATGGTAATTATTTCTCATTCTAAAATTCTGTCAGAATTCTGACACCAGCAGAAATGATGAGTTCTAGTGATTTAGTCTAATTTGTACTACAGAAATTTTGCTGTGGCTAAATGTGTTTTATGAGATACAAATACACTAATATGGCAAACAAAATTAAGATGTAGTCTGGAATGCTACTGAATTACCTCTACCTCTATACTTATACCTCTCCCTCCTTTTTTCCCCTCCCTCCATCCCAGCTGAATATGCACACACGTGAGAACAATAGGTAAAAGTTTAGAAAGAAAAGGAACTTGGTTAGATAAGTTTGTCTATCAGTAGGTAAAAGTAAAAATGATTTCACTGTAGAAAGAACCTAACTGCTGGTTAACACTAAGCAAAAATAAAAAAAGATACTGAATTTGAATCGTGTTTGTTTTTTTAATTTTTTTTTTGTCTTTTCTTTCTTGGTACTGGGGATTGAACCCAGGACGTTGAACTTGCTAGGCAAGCACTTTGCCACTGAGCTACTACATCCCAGCCCTGGGTGTTGAATCTTGAAGCATAATAATAGATTGTGAGGGGAGCTGGAATGAAAATGTATCACATTCAAGATCAGGAAGTCAGCCTTTCTCTTTAGTGTGTTGATAGAGAATATGTTAAAGCCAACTCATATTTCTTTGTGCCTCTGACATTGTGAACCAAGCAGAAGACAAAATGTCCCCATGGAATAAGATACCCACAAATGCTATGCTTAGAGAAAAGGTGGAATAGAAACCTAGAAAGCGTAGAAAATGTCCCCCCCTCGCCCCTCCCCCCCCAGAAGTTGTTATTGATATTCTGGGTGTCTTCTCCCTCTCTTTCTCATAAACTGTTACATCTTCTTTTCTAACTTCTTTTCTGTTTTTATTCCCCCTTTCCTATTTTTCAGCTTTCATTCTTTTTCTTTTATGTCTATGACTCCTGTCTGTTTGGTTTTTTAAAAACTAGAACACATGGACATTATTTAGTTATGACCCATTTGTGTCATTAGATAACTTTCTGACCCATATCGTAAGGTAAGAAATGTTGTGATACATTTTCTGCAATTTTTATTGCTACAAAATATGCCTAAAATTTAGCCACGTCACAAATGTATATTTTATGCCTTTTAAAAATTTATAAGATCATCATTTTGAAGAAAAATGAAACATTGCCAGCATTCAAGAAACTTCCAAAATCTTTTACAAATTGTTTCCCAGCCATATTATATGTTGTAGTTGGCATAATTTATTGCTACAATTGTTACTTTGATCTTTTAAATTTTTTGATGGTGTTGGGGATCAAACTCAGGGCCTCATGCATGCTACGCTTGATCACTGAGCTCTATCAAACCCTTTTCCCTAATCTTTTTAATGCTCCCACCTATAAACATTTGTTGTCTTCTCTCCAAATGTGGGTGCATTGGTTGAAAACAATAAATACTAAGGCACCTTTGAATTACGATGGTAATTTGTACACTGGCATTTCTTTCTTGTGAGACCTTTGACCCCAACTGTACCTCACCTCAATGCTTATACATAGATACACACACACATATATGTATATGCATACATACATATATAAACAAATATATGCATATATAAACAAAAAATCAAACAGATGGATATCCGTCTCTTCTACAAGAAGAAAATTACTGTCAAACCAGTTATAAAGGTATCTGATGGCAGACTTAGTACACCCCCTTTTAAAGATTTCTAATTTTATGATATATATAAATATATAAAAAACTGTACACTTTTTTGAAGTCAATGCATAAATCCATCAGAATAAAGTTACTAAAGACATGAAGTATTTTGCTGTTTTGTGAGATATTAATTTGAATTTATATAAATGACTAGTTTTTACTTTAAAGGAATCTAAGATTCAAAATAGCCATCTTTATTTAATATTTGTAGGGTTAGAACTAGTTATAAACCTATATAATGAATACATTAGCTTGTACTTCAAAGAGACTTTAAATCTTAGAGTGATTTAAATATCTGACATGCTGTTATAGCTGATATTATAACTTAAAATTTAAAGTAGACCGTTCATTACTATTTCCATGCTCATTATTTAGTAGGAAACATGATCAAAACAAGCAATGTAAAAAATGTATTTAGTGAGATGTCTATCTCAGTTTGGCCTACTAGTAACTAAATTAATTCTTTTCATAAAGAAATACGACATGAATTTGACTGAAGATAGGCAAGTGTAGTAGAGTTTAGGAAAAACAACCCAGAAAATAGACTCACATGAATATAGACTTTTGATGTAGAAACAAAGAAAGTAGTACTATAGAGCTGTAGAGTAAGGGTGATCTTTTTGGCATATGGGGCATGATCTTTTTGACATAAATATGAAAAATATAAGAAATTACTTTATGCAGTATGAAAGATAAGGTACAGATGATTTGTAAACTTAAACATGAAAGACATAAAACTAAGTTTTAAAGAATAATTTTGATGAAGTATGCTAGAACAGAATCCTTCCTCCTTTAAAGCCTTTCTATATGCCCCAGAAATTCCAGAAGCAGTAAAATCAGTTATTTATAGATGCTTTCCCCCCCCAAAAAAAACCAAACACTGTCTGGTCAAATAATTTAGAGTGAATTTAACCGATCTTTCTTTCCTCTTTTTATATGACATTAGATTATGCATTTAATTACATAGAAAGTCACAAAAGCTTTTTTGCAGTTATTCTCCTTAACACATATTCACATCATTTTTATCACTTAAAACTGTATTATCTAAAACATGTTATATTGTACTATCAAACAAAAATTCTTGCATGTGTTAAAAAGTTATGTCTGTATTCTTTCAGGGCAATTAAAGCATTTCAGGAGGTGCTTTATGTTGATCCCAGCTTTTGTCGAGCCAAGGAAATTCATTTACGACTTGGGCTTATGTTCAAAGTGAACACAGACTATGAGTCTAGTTTAAAGGTAGGTTGTTGGGTGTTTTTCAAGATACAATGTTTTATTTCTTTTTTTGTTATTAAATATTAAAACATTGAGAAATGCTGTAATTTATCTTAGTACTTTAAAAGAGAATCTGAAAATTTAGATGATGTGATTATCAACTATGACTGAAAGATAAACCAGGTTGAGTTTCACCATGCAAGGGAGTTATGATGTTAACTCTTACATGGTAACTGGTTTTGTTTTATTTTTAAGTTTTGACTATAGTCTGTCATAAGGAAAGGGTGAAGATTTCAATCTCTTTTGACATCTAGATCACTTTCCTCTAAGGAACTTGCCATTGTAGAGATCACAAGTAGCTACTTAATGATGCTTTATCTGTGAGCCAATTATTAGTGATCTCTTGGTGTGGATCTCATTAGAAATCTGTTCATCTCTACCATCAGGACATGTCTTATGTATAAACTATAGAAAAGAATATTCTCAAGGCACATAAGACTGTTTTTTGTGTATAAAATTGTTTTTTTTTTTTTTTTGAGTATAAACCATTTTGGGAAAAGAAAGGAAGTTGTTGATTAAATATCTGTCTACTTATAAAAGTTAGGTATTTATCCAGGTTTTCATTTTTTCATTGAGTTTTTCTTGTGATGTTTTTGACATTACTTTTAATGGACTTTATACAATAGTACTTTCTTGTGTGAAAAAAGAAAAGATTAGAAGTTGGTGTTGGAGGAAGCTCACGTTTTTCTGAATTCATAACTATAATTGTTGCTATTATCTAAATATCTCCAAAGTAGAAAAATTTGTAAGTACTTTGCCACATAAAGAACAATGCTGATGGTATAAAAGAGATAGATAATCCCAGACACTAATGTAAATTGGGAAGGGTTTAGATCACAATGCTGGAATGTAAATGCAGTCAAAGGATAAGACTTAGGGTAATTTTAACTACTGTGTAATTACCAGTTGCTGCCTGGAAGTTACCAGTTTTCCTCAGTCTTTGAGCAGCATTTTCCTAAACTATGCTGTGACATGTCAGTGGATTTGAGTGGAAAGTTCAGACCTTATGTATTTTAATACCTTATGTATTTTAACACCTCCTATTGGACAATCACGGTTTATATTATCTATAAAGACTTAATTATTTTTACTTTATTTTTATCTTTTTTTTTAAGTGCTAAACTTGGTTTTGAAATTTTATTAAAAATATATTTGCAAACATAAAATTTAGGATGAAAAATGCTCATTTTCAAACATGTAATAACAATATTTGCAAACATACACAGATGTTATAAAACCCATACCATTAAAAATGTTAATGATGCTGTATTGTGCTCATAGAATGAAAACCTTGCTGTCATTCCAGAGCTTCTTGTCTCCATGTTTCAGTGAGCTGAGAATCTGGTACAGTGAAAGTCATGAGAGTCACATGGCCAAAGCAGTAATATGGAATAAAAGATTACTTTAAACATAGTTTAAAAACATTTTCTAAGGGAAACACAACTTTGCAATTTTTCACACTTCAAAGTGATGACATTGCCTTTATTTTTATCTTTAAGTAATTGTATAAAGGAGTTACTGTTCAACAAAGCACTATATGAGTACACTGCATCTTGATCAGTGTCACTCCTTTAATCATTTTTTCCCTGTTCCCTCTCAAACCTATCCCTTTTCTCAGTTTTCTTAATTTTCTAGAATATGCATTATTTTATAACTGTATTCTCTCCCCTTCTCTCTTCATTTATCTTCTCTTGGTCCCCTCCCCTTGGTCCCACCCCCATGTTATCATGACATTTAACATTTTCTTGGTGCAAAATAAATATATTTGAGCATTTTTATTTGAGCCTGTTACATTTTTGGTAGCAATTTGGTAAATATTCCTCAGGAAATGTATTTTGAGCAGAAAAAGTAACCAAATATGTACCAAATTATGGAATGTAATTGCCTCTGAATATCAGTACAGTAATATCTTAAATCTATGGATGCAAAACTTATTTTTTCAAGAAGGTAGCAATATTTAAAATCTCCTATAATCAAGGGGAAAAAGTATACATTGGTCCTCAGGTAATTGAAAGTGTTCTTGCTTTACTTAAACTCAAACAAAACATTCCACTGTGTCACTTCTATTTGTTCAGGCATAAATTTAAACCTTTAATTCATAGTGATCTTAGCAAGCTTGCTTTAAATTAGGGCATCCTTCTATTGGAAGGCTTTTCCCTTCAGTATTTAAAATACTTAGTAGCATTCTGATATCTCTTACTTGTATGAACATAGAAAAGAATTTTAAGAAACCTTCATTTCTCTTCCCTATAGTGTGAATTTTAAATGAAACCTTTCATCCTAACATTGGCCTTTCAAGCCTTCTCTTTCTCCAGTGTATATTCCTGTCTATTATAAGGAAAATCTTAAAACATCAACATTTTTTATTTGAAGAGACTATTTTAGTTTTTTTTTTTTGTTTTGTTTTGTTTTGTTTTGTCCAGTGGTGGGGCCTGAACTCTGGGCCTGGGCGCTGTCCCTCAGCTCTTCAGCTCAAGGCTAGCGCTCTACCACTTGAGCCACAGCGCCACTTCCAGCTTTTT